AATGGTGGCGGCGGCGGCGGCGGCGGCGGCGGCGGTGGATGAAAATAAAAAAGAAACGCATTGTTTGTGTTATCAACCGACTGGGGTCCTATTACAGCGATGCCGCCGGCACTTCCCGCGCCTTCCTCCGCCCGCACTTACGAGTACCCCCCGCGCCCCGCGCTTCCCTCAGAAGACCAGGGTTAGAACTCTCCTTACTATACAACTGTTATTAATATTTTATTAGATAATGACTATCCAATGAATTTTATTTTTGATACTGTTAATCAACGTATTAAAAATTTAATTAAAAATAGATATACTGTACATAATGATTTGACTGACAAAGTCTGTGCGAACAAAACTGCTTCTTGGATAACGGTACCATATATTCCTTGTCACACGGAGAAATTTAGACGATTTAATAAAAACAACATCAGGGTAGCTTTTCATAGTCCTAATAAAATGGGTAAATACATAAAAGTACAAAAGGATATTTGTCCCCATATATCGAAGAGCAATGTAGTCTATACAATATCATGTAACAATTGCGATGCATCTTATGTTGGACAGACAGGCAGACAATTGAAAATCAGAATTACTGAACATCGTAATCATATTAGACATAGAACTTCTGTCCGTTCTGTTATCACAGAACATAGACTACAATGTGATCACGATTTTTCAATGGGACAACGTTAAAATCTTAGATGAAGCCTTGTTATAGGAAACGCTTAATTTTCGAGATATTCAACATTAAGAAGCAGAAAAACAGCTTGAATTTACAAACGGATACTAAAGATCTTCATAAGGCAAATTTACCCATTGTAAATAAAGTTTGACTTTTTTGATACTGACGGCCCGTCTTTTCTCTCAGTACGTAGTAAGCCGTTTCAGCGAGCGTGCACATTAGTCGATACACAATGTCCATTTTCCACTCTTGCGTTCCACTCGTCTTTATGTTTTTTTATTATTCGCTATATTTACATGGATACATTAGTTTTGATAATTTACATATTTGTTAGTTAGTTTTTACTTCTTATCATAATTACGGTTGTTAATTTATTCAAGTTTACTTTTTTCATAAGAAGTTTTTTCTTTTTTATCTACTAGAACTTTTCTAAAAAATATGACACATTTTTGACTGTTCAATCTTATGTGAATAATCTCGAATTCTACATCGATACTCAACCGAACTGCGTATATATTTAATTTGTGAACATTTGCGATAATTATTTTGTAATACTATTAATTCCATTATGTTTTTAACGTCTGAAGAGGACTCAATCCGATAGCCGAAACTTGTAATGTTTTAATTTATTTTCACTTTTATTATTTCGTATTATATATCTTTTCTTTTTTTTTATCTTTTCTGTATTTTAATTTATTCTTTTAATTATATGATTTTGTAAAGAAATGCGTTGACTCTTACTTTGCCCTTTATTTATTGTTATTTATTTTATTGCTGATATTGTAATGCAGGATTTGGAAGAATTGGCCATTACAATATTACAAATACAACTATTATTTTACTATAGATATGTGTGTTGATTACATCATTTTCGCACTTCCATCTGATACTATTGATGACACACTTAATACTTTATACATTTAACACTTAATACTACTTTTAATTCTTTACATACACAATTGTGTGCGTGCGTGCGCGCGTGCGCGCGTGTGTGTGTGTGTGTATGCAATTTACTATGGAGGTTGATATTGACAATAGAATTTTTCTTGACATAATTTGATTATTGATAGTCAATTATTTTCAATACATATCATAAAACAACAATTTCTAAAAGATTTTTTAATTTTCATTTCAATCATCCTCTTTGCCACAATAAAACACAATAATTATATATGTATATATAT